GGAGAGTGGCTTGGCAACTACATCAGCCAGTTCCCTCAGGACTCTGGGATGCATCTCATCAGGTCCCATAGACTTGTGTACATTCAGGTTCTTCAGGTGGTCTTGAACCTGATCTTCCCTTACAGTGGGAGAGGCTTTACCCACCTGGTCCCCATCTTTTGGTCCATCGATTCGGGAGGGGTGAGGAGAGAGGTTGCCAGTGAAGACTGAGGCAAAGAAGCTGAGTACCTCAGCCTTCTCTTCGTCCGCTGATACAAGGTCGCCATTCTTGTTCATCAGGGGGGTATGCTTTCTTTAACTTTCCTTTTCTGGTTGACATACCTGTAGAAGCCCTTCTTGTTATTCTTTACATCCCTTGCCAAACTCAGGTCCAGCTACTTCTTGGCCTTCCTGACCCCTCCCTACACAACTGGGCAGTTTCCCTGTACTCCTCCCAGGACACCTGTCCCTGCTTCCACTGCCTGTGCAGTTCCCTCTTACTCTTTAGTTTGACCAGCAGGTCTCTACTCAACCATGCTGGTCTCTTCCCTTCCTTGCCTGATTTCTTACGCCTGGGGACTGATAGCTCTTGCGCTGTATGGAAGGTGCCCATAAAGATCTGCCAGCTCTGTTCTGTTCCCCTGTCCCTGAGGACCGTCTCCCAGGGGGTTCTTCTGACTAACTGCTTGAAGAGCTGGAAGCTTGCTTTTCTAAAATTTAGGGTCCTGACTGTACTCCTTGCTTTTCCCATGTCCCTCAGGAGCATGAACTCCACCAACGCATGATCACTGCAGCCCAGGCTGCCTCCAGTCTTGACATCAAACTGCAATTATACGCATACCTTAAATGTAGAACCTGAACAGCAGTATGAATTTCAGTAACTTAATAAATTGTTAGCAATTAACATCTAGCAAAACATTTAGATAGCTCGACTATGCAGTTCATTTAGTTTTCCATTGTGAATACACTATTTCTGTTAACCTTATGGCGGGGGGGGTTATCTTGATATTGTGATCTTCTGTTCTGAGAGTAGTAGTTCCATTAAACTGAGAAAATTTAGACCACATTCTTTTGTCCTGTAAGCTAGCTTTTGCACTAATGACAAGTTTAGTGTAGCTATTTTTCTTGACTGATAAAACATATTGTAAAATTTTAAAAGTTAGTACTAGCTTTTTTGAGCAGTTACAATATTAGACAATTTGTTGTTAAGTAGATTAAATCTTAGTAATGCATCAGTGTTTTTCAAAGTACTTTGTTTATATAGATTAATTACTTGCTTTGGTGCTTTTTGTTTCTGATGTGTGATAGCAATAATCCCACAGTAGCTTTTACTAATTGAAGAACTGTATCAGCCAAAGGCATATTTTTGTATGAGGAAGAGTTGTGCTGGGTTTTTGTGTGTTTTTTAGTTTAATATTAAACACTGATACTAACGTGCTTTCCACATCAGCATATGTTAACCACAGTACAGTGAACTTTTTAAATATAGCGAATACAAAAAATGCTGCTAATCTAGAAGATGCTAGTCTTGGCTATTCTACTGAACAGTCATTGAATTGAGATGAACAGTTTCAAATTGCAGAATGCAATCCACTTCAAAGTGATAAGTGGATCACTTTTGTATCGTAGATGCGGTGGTGGCAGCTACCAATGCTGTATCAGTGAAGGCAAGATAGCCAATAGTTCTGCAGGCTCAAGCAGCCAAATGCCACCACTTAGGAGTCATTTTCTGAATTCATTCTTTTGTCTCCCACTGACTTTTTTTAGCTAGGTTGCAATACCATCACAATCACTTTATTTTTCCTGTTCAAAACAGATATACTGTATCAGACCAAAGATCCAGTTAGCTCAGCATTCTGTTGCAGCAATGGTTGTATTTAGAGGACAAGAAAATAAGAAATGGGACAATGACAAAATACAATTTTGGTATATCCAGCAATACCATCAGGAGTTACATGTACCCTCAGCCAGAGGCAGCACTTCATATTTACTGTCCGTCAGTGAAAGTATTCTTCATGAACTCATAGAATCATTTAGGTTGGAAAAGACCTTTAAGAGCATCCAGCCCAACCATTAACCTAACATTACCAAGTCCACAACTAAATCAATTCAGGGTAGAGAAGCAATCTTGTGTTTCCTGCCTTGGTGGCTGGATTATTTATAATGAAAGTAAAAACTAGGAATCATTAAGGTTGGAACCGACCTCTTAAGATCATCAGTCCAGTCATCAACCCATCACCACCATGCCCACTAAACCATGCCCCAGAGTGCCTTGTCTACCTGTTTTTTGAACACTTCCAGGGATGGTGACTCCACCACCTCTCTGGGCAGCCTCTTCCAATGCTTGACCACCCTTTCTGTGAAGCAGTTTTTCCTAATATCTGATCCAAACCTGCCCTGATGCAGCTTGAGCCCATTTCCTCTTGTCCTATCTCTAGCTACTTGGGAGAAGAGACCAACACCCACCTCACTACAACCTCATGTTTGTATGTCTGCTTTGAAAAGTGACAAACAATGGTATCTTTTGTCAAAGTTGGCTATTGCAGTTATATATGTAAAGCAACTGTGGTGAACTATGTTTTTGTATGGCTACTTAGGAAGCATCTTCGCTTTCTTACATCAATTCTTTAAAAATAATAGATGCAAAAAGCAAAATTTTGGAAGAATAGAGGTGATCCAATTAGGAGATCCAAAGAATTAAAATATTGATGTACTAATAGAAGAAGTTGTAGCCTTTGAAACAAATTAATTCTGCGAAGCGTTTTTATCCAGTATTCTAAACTGTTGGATACAATTTTTGGAAATACTTGCATTAACTAGTTGGAGATAAATACAAGTGCAGCATTTAGGATCATATTCTGTGATGGAATGCCTCAGTTCCATCAGGTGTATTAAGGTATTTATAGTTGAGTAATATTTAACAGAAGAGGAATGTAAGCTACTCTTAGAAAACATTTATAAAAAATTCTTAATATTTTTAGTATGGTGTAATGAAAAAAAGCTGTTAAACATTTGACTTGCTTAGTTTCTTTGTAGCAAAGTAATTGTGTCACTGGCATCACTTTTCGAATTACCCATTTTAAGATAAAAAGCAAAGCTCTCTGTAATATCTTTATGAAACTGTGGAAGTACACAGTGAGGGCAGAGGTATATAGCATTAAGTCATTAGTAACTGAAGTCTTTCTACTTCAGCCTTTCTTCTAAGTCATTATTTGGCTGTACAAAGTATTAGTTGTTTCCTCTTCCAGACATTCCTAAACAAGTTATGCTGGTGAAATTGAGTAAGTAATAAAACTTCATATAGTAGATAACACTATTGGCTTTCTTTAAAAGATGTGTGTAAATCTAAATAGCTTTGTTTTCTGTGTTTCTTCTCTAAGTTGTTTTAGAAATGTGAACAGCAGTGTTTATAAATCTTGATCTTCTGTATATGAAGACTGTCTTGTTTTTTCTTTCCCGTGATGAGCAAAAATACCCTTTAAAATTCTTCCTATTAAAATATTGCTGTACATTATTATCCAGAAATCATTAATTATGAATGTGTAGCTTTCAGTGTGTGTTGTATCAGGTAATACACCAGAAGATGTTTGTTCCAGGGACTAAGGAGTAACTTAAGTTTTAGTAACCTAATTCTTTGTCTGTGAATGAGTTTTTCTGCTAACTTGCATTATATCTTGATATCTTTAATGTAGCTTTACGAAGCAGAAAATAAGCATAAAATTTTGGAGAAGGAGTTCCAGCAATACAAAGAACAGCAAAGTAGCAAACCAGAAGTCCAGCTACAATCAGAAATAAATCTTCTCACTTTAGAAAAGGTATCTTGGATTTTTCTAGTCTTTAAAAACTGTCACAATAGTTCATTCACTGATAAGGGAGATGTAGAATAATCTCGCATGATTAACTGTCAGATTTGTCCATTTTGGTTTACTTTTTCCAACATTTTTTTCAGACTTCAAGTATTCAGACACAAATGAGGCTGACAGTGGCCTTATTTCTATAGAGGAAGCAGTAGAGTTAAAGGCTAAGGCAGGAAAAAACTAACCTGTATATTTAAATTGCTACCATCATGATTTATGCTGGGGACTCTGAGCATTCCGTTTATAGAACTAAGTAAAGATGAAGATTTTCTTGTAAGGACTAATTTAGCCTGGTATTCCATTATGTGCATTGGGTTTTTTATTAATTATTTCTGAAAAGAGATTGTGTTACTTATCAGTGGAATGGAATCACTGTCATAAGTTGATTTCTTAGAAACCATATATGCCTTCCGTACAGGATATTTTGCTTAATTAAAACCACAGATATGGGCATTTTTTTCTCAGAATTATTGTGAGGTTTGAGTCAAATTGTTGACTGAATATGCTGAAAAAAATTGGACCAGGCTTCTTGGCAAAAAATGCACTGTTTTATGGCCAGTCTGCATGTTACTATATGCTTGAATAACTTCTAATAATGCAAGCAAATGATTCAAAATGTTTCTGTCTCTACAGGCTTTTTAAACTCTTAGCTTAAATATTTTATTAGGTTTTCTCTTTTTGTTAGATTTAAAAAAAAAATCAGTGCTTTAAGCTCTTCACAAATTTAATGGTAAATAATTTTTGCCTAACTAAAAGTATCACTGCCTCAGATTAGTTGTGTTCTGCGTGCTTCATACCTGTTTTCATTTGCCTTTTAATACTAACTTTTTTTTTCACAGAATGCAATGAATTTTTTTTAGTGTGTAACTTTTTTAAAGATTTATTTAGATAGTAAGATGAAAGATTCACACAAGGTACATAGATTTTAAAGAATGGTTTGAACAGATGTCTGTTTCAGAGACAAGAATGCAGCATGTATATTCCATCAGCTGCAGGAAAAAAAAAATCTGCACACCTTTTAAAGGCAAGATTTATCTGTCAGTGTTTCTGTTAAACTAGTGTTTATAATCTTACTTTGAAGAAAAAAAAAAGGGGGGGGGGGGTGCTAATTTGAGAATTTGAGAATCTTAAATTTAAAGGTTACATCAGCAGATTTAGTGCTAAAAACTAATCTTTTCCTTTTTGTATAGACGGCTATCTAATAAAAATAAGGCTATACGTTAAACAAGAAAATGTTCATGTGCCATAATATTTACGTTACATTATATAACAGCTTTAGATGATGTTGTATGTTATGCTACATAAACACTTTTCTTAAACCAGACCCTTTGTATATATACATCTTTCAGTGATTGTTACTGCTGTTATTGCTTCAGCTGATATGATTTTAATTGCTTTTAGGTTGAACTTGAAAGAAAGTTGGAGTCAGCTACCAAGTCAAAGCTCCACTACAAACAACAATGGACAAGGGCTTTGAAAGAACTTGCAAGGTTAAAACAGGTATGCAGGTTTTCTTTTGTCATATGAGACAACCAAGTTAATGTAGTGTTGGAAGCTACTAATAATTACTGTTAACTACTGGCAGTTTTCATTTTATTAGTGTTTATCTTTGCAAAATTAAAGCTCTGAGCTATGCTTTTTTACAAAAATGAGAACAGCAAAACTTGATTTGAGTTTGACATTGAACTTAAGAAAGACCAAGGCTCAGGTTTGCAGAGAAGGTTGGTATAGCTAAAAGGAGGGATGATTCAAAAAAGAAGTTTCATTAATCTCATTCCCAATAATGCTCAGCCAGCACTTCCAGAGAAAATATTTTGTTCCTATCTGAACCATCTTGGTCAGTTACAGTCCTAACTGTACTGTATTTTAATTGTAAAATGAATGAAGAGTAAAGATGAGAAACAAATCTTAGTTTTTCAAAACAATAGTTTAAGGTTTGCTGAACACTGTAAAATGAAGTAAGCTTGCAGAAGAGTTAAAATGGCAGTGAAATGTTTTTCTCCTGCTTTTGGAAATCCTAATCATGTACGAATGTGGCTTGGTTTTTTACTGCTCTAACAGAGCTCGTGTGTGTATATAGTCATACACATATGACTTGAAAATACTCTGTGCAAACTTGCACGAGTAGCAGCTTCATCCTCATTGAATCCATGTGCCTCAGTGTTTTTTGTCATTGCCTGTCTTTCATGAATTACAGTAAACATTAGCTAAACAGTGTACTTAAGAATGGCAAGCATTTCCATTGGCCTTGACAAACAAATTAGTAAATCATTCATCCCTCTTGCTGAACAAACCTTGACAGAGACATAAAGCTTCAGAATTCAAGTTTAGTAAAAGGTTTTTATTACCTGTATTCACACCTACTTTCTGCTTGAGGAAAAGTGGGGGGGAGTTTTGTTGGTTTGGGGTTTCTGTTGTTGTTGGGTTTTTTAAGGATTTTAGTTACTACTTCATTACTACTGCTAGAGTATTCAGTTTATGGAGAGCAAGAAGCTAAGCCCACCCTCTCCTGGTTGATAATTACCTTTTTTAATCTGTATGCTCATTAGAGAGTGAATGTGCTGTATAATCACTATTAATTAAAACCTCATCTTTATTCGCTGTCTTCAAATTGGTCCTTTTTTTGCCTAGTGATAAAAGGAGTCATGAATTCTCATCTCCAATTTCTGAAACATCTATGCTTGACAAGATGATAAAGGAAGAATATAAATCTTATCTCTCTAAGATTTCTTCAGCAGCCATGAAATGTCCAGGCTATTTTTTCTTACTGCCATATTTAAAAATTCCTGTAGAAAAAGAAGATTCTTGCTTGCCATATTAACACTAGCGTATATCACTACCAGGCTTTTGTTATAAATTTCATCACCGTAGACCTGATGATCTGAATTTAGGAACATATGTAGATGGTTTCAGCTGACCCTCTTGCAGAAAGACTGAACCATAAAATAAGTTGGCATGTACAGTGAATACCTAAAACTTTTCTACTATGGAACAAACGCTTTCAAAGCAGTTTCTTGTGGTTTTTATACTCCTGTGCTTCATCTTATGCTTAGTCTATTGATAAAGGATTTAAGTGACTTTAAAGAGCCAAATAAAAGTTGAAGCAGAGCTGATCAAAAACCATTTACTGTGTTTTAAATATAAATTTGGAAACTGTTGCTTCAGGAATTCTAGATTTGCTTTAGTTCAGATGATTTGTGCAATTGTGCATAGTTTGACCAATTTCTTGTTTAAATTGGATTAGTACCATGTTAATTTTGCATTGCCTCTGGTGAATAGCCACAGGGCTGTAATCTGTGCCAGTAATTTGTCACACCAAAGCTCTCTAGAGAACTATACAAAACATTTGTGTAGTGAGGATTAGACGCTGAAAGCCATATCTTAGATTGTTAATAAATGTTAATGACAAAACCCAGCTGGTAAGTCTTGGAAATGAGATCTAATGCTTTGTGCCCATTGCCAAAAAAATGTTTAAACAGAGATTTCCATTACTCAAAGGTGACCTAGTACAGTCAATTTGTGAATTAAAGAAGCATAATCTACAGGCTAAGCATTTAGTAAAATGCTCTTCTGATTTGCAACCATAAAAGTCAATGTTTCCTTAATTAAAAAGTTTCCTTTTACTTTTTACTTTGGAACTGGTTCTTAGCACACATCTGTGATGGTTTTATATTTTGCAGAATATGAGATATGCACTACATAACTTACAAAAGTATGGGACCGTTAACAGAAAATGCTCTGAACTTCTCCATGTCCAGGATTTTGAATGCTAAACGCAGTGCCAGTGGTAGCCAAAAAAAAGATCTAAAGTACATGAGGACACATATACATCATGCTTACCTGTGCTTAACAAAATACAGAAGTTAGTTGAATTTAAACACAGTTTGTAAAGCTCAATGAAAATAGACTACTAAGCTCACTTTTCTTCCCTCTTTGTTACTCAGTGCAAGTCTGTATTAATACTTATTATACCCCTGTTCAGCTTTAGGAAAACAAAAATGTCAACAAGTTAGCTATGTATCTATGCACCTGGGTAGACTTTATAATTTCCAGAGGTTTCAAAAACTGTCTTTCAGAGTTTGCTGACTAGGAGATCTCAATGCTACACAAATGAGGCTTCCATAGTTTTTATGTATGTGAGCATTATTTCTAGGAGCAATCAAACCATTTACACAAAATTGCATGTATGCTTACAGAGATCTTAGACGGTAAATTCAGTACCTGTCTGAGTGCAAGAAACAATGTATCAAAACAAAAACCTGGCAGAAATGTCATTTTTCAGCAGTTAGTAATCTCTGTTAGAATCTAGAAAACCAAAATCTCAAAATGTACATGCATGCATTATTCAGTGTTCTGGGATAAATATTTTTTAAGTCTTTTAATGTGTTTGTGCCTTACAGAGCTGTTAAAACTGGCACTGATGCATTTGTTTAAAACAACAAAGACTGTGTTGGCTGGCTGACATTCACTCTATATTGTCCAGTGTCTTGCTTATCCACTCAGTAATTAATTTGATTAATTTATAAGTAATTTAGCCAAGGATGGGATGTAAATCTTTGTTTAAAAAAAAAAAGCACAAAAAAACCCCAGTTGGAGGTCCAAGTCTTGGTTAAAAACTGTGTCTTGAAACCATCCAGGCCCTCCTACTGACTTGTCAGCTCTGGGTTATTTTCAGAAAACTTTACTTGAGTTCCTTAGCTTCAATCGTAAGTTTTTCCCACAGACTTGCATGGTATGTGTGAGTGGGAGAGTGAATAGTGGCTGCTATTTAGCCATTGTTTAGTCTAGTGTATGTATGTTTACATCTCCCTTTTGGATTTATAGGCAGCTATGGCAAAATAAAGATTGTGCTTCCTTGATTGAAGAGCCTCTTAACTAGAGCACCTGGCGGCATAGAGGGATTCTTTTATGATCTGATTATAATTGAAATTTTGAGGGTGTTTTATTACTGGTTAATTTTTATTTAATGCTGATATTCCTGTAGTACCATAGGTTTCAAAACATGATTGAAGTTCCCACCATGCGAGCTCCTAAGACTTTATTCCATGTCTCAAGCACTACATTAGAGATGCAAACTAATGAAGAAACCCAGTAAAACATTGAAGTAAATGATCTGATAACTAGTATGTGGCTTTGTTTGGATTGGATTTGTTTTGTTTGTGGGGATGTAAGAGGAGGATGGCAAAATATCAAGTTAATAGGAGAAAGGAATATCAGTGATAAGTTTTACCAAGAGGGAAAAGGAAAGAAAATGAGCAAAGGGAATAGCATGACTAGCAGTGCTGAGAAAGTAGTGGAGGAGAAGGTACCTGGGCCAACTAAGGGAATATTGCAAAAATAATTTTCATAGTACTTTGCACATAATAGTCTTGGTTCATCTGTGGTTGCCTGACTATAGGATAGTTGGCTAATGATAATTAGGTGGTGATGCAGGAGTAGTTTCGAAATGTTCCGAGTTTCTAGTGGGTCTTCTATCCACAAAGCTACCTTTTAGTCCAGCAGCTGATGATTCTGTAGTGTTCCCTTACCAGAAATTTAAAAATGCAAAATTGTAAAAGTTTAAAATTTAAAATTCTAATAGTTCTTGCTGAGGCTTAAAACAGCCTGATTGGCTACAATAAGCAGTTGGGAATAAATCTGAAATGTTCCTTATTTTAGTATCTATTATGGGAGCATACTCTCTTTGGAAACTTAAAGTATGTCAGAATGTCTTGACTAGGAATTTTTAAGCATGTGAATATGTATGTATAAACTTGTGTGTACCAAGGTACACTTAAAAAATACTTTGTATTCAATTATAACCTAGTTTTTAAGTGTACACAGAATAAAATGAAGATGTTACAAGTAGGTTTAGAAATGCTGGACTTTGTTTTATTAGTACTGTAAATCTGCAGAAGTGTTTTATTAATATTGGGTTTTTTCATTTTGGAAGACCTCACAGTAAATTCTCCTACATTTCAAGCACATTTCTAGTATGCATTAGAGTTAGGTTCCTTCTCTGGCTTAAGAAAAAAAAAAGTGCTTGTTGCCCAGTGGATTGTTAAACTGTCATGGAAAAAGTGGTTTTAATACCTGAATGTCTCTGATAAAGTGGCACCAGTTTCATCACTGTGACGAATAAGAAATCATTCCTTCTCTCTCATTGTAACAAACAACAGTCTTTTTATGGTCCCTCAACATAACAAAATTGTATATAAATTAATATGAAACTAGCATGCCTCACTTCTTATCAAAAAACTGTTGTAAATTCTTTGCCATCTTCTTGTATTGATGGATTATTAGGAAATGGGTTTCTGTTGCTCTACTATGAATGGTATACATCGAGCAAGTTTGCTGTTATGCACCCTGCAAATTGTTATGACAGACTTTTAAAGGAGTCAAAGACAAATGTTGGGAAAGACATTTGAAAATCACAGATTACGAAGTGTGTAACTTGAATTACACACAGGATCCATCATAAATGAATCTGCAAAATCCCTTCTCACTTTCATGGCTTTTTT